ACCGGAATGGATACCTTATATTCAAAAAACAAACGGACACAGTTAAGAGAACTGAATATAAGTTGCGTTGTCACTTTCAAGTATAATAGTCTCCTTCACGGTTAGGTGCGCCATCTTGAAAGGTAGCCGTGCCTTAACAACGAAGCTAGACAACCGTTGAGCGTGCAATGATAGAAACCTTCTTTCACACCTAAGTCAATTATTCACAGGTTTCTATCATTGCACGCTCAACGGTTGTAAAGTCTTTTTTTTAATTTTTTTTTATTTTGAGAGGGTAGCACGTAATAGTCTCTAGACTAATAAACTTGTGGCCCTCTATATATTCACTCATACTCACTACCTCAATATTCATTATTTTACTACACGACACTCCTCACAGCTAGTTTTTGACTGAGGGAGGAAAACCAGCGGACCTGGAGAAAAACCCTCGGAGCAAGGAAGAGAACCAGCTGTCTCGCTTCGATGCAAAGTCACTGCCACCTTTCAAGATTGCTCAGGGACGTGAAGGAGACTATTGATCACAGTACTCTTTCAACTGTGCGACAATAGTGGGCCTGCGGACGATGGAAGCATGCGCGCGCCGTCAGAAAATATCAATATTGTTTTTACCATGCGAGGCAATATTGGATCATGCATTACCTATTGTTATTGTTAAACTGTCCCTTCCACAATCTTTCTTAAACTGGGCCATGGACTCGATCATATCCAATGCCATTGCCGCCATTGGTTCGGCGTGACGTTTCTTTCGTACTGGAGCACCGCTGACCGCCATATAAACGGCGTCTCCCAATGTCTCAAACTATTAGAAATAAAGAAGAGCTTTGGATGACAACGATAGACTGATCGTATCATGTATACCGTCGCAATCTTGAATCATAAAATACTACGGGATGTCCAGGAGGCAATAACGTTGATAGTCTCCTTCAAGGTTACCTGCGCCATCTTGAAAGATAGCCGTGCCTTTGCATCGAAGCGAGACAACCGTTGCGCGCGCAATGATAGATACCTGTGTATAATTGTCTGTAGGTGCGAAAGAAGGGTTTCTATCATTGCACGCTCAACGGTTGTCTCGCTTCGTTGTAAAGGCACGGCTACCTTTCAATATGGCGCAGGGAACCGTGAAGAAGACTATTGGAAAGTGAATTAAAACTGATTATATAATGATTACGGGATTTTAGTCACCGGGGAGAGCCGAGGGGTTGTTATGTTCAATTTACTATTGCATTGCGGACGGTCACTGTTTTATTGCTTACCTTGTAGACGTCGTGTTGCTCGCTGAGAACGTCGAAAACTCTTAACATGCGATCTACAAGAGCAACAACCTCCATTGCATCGACATTGGAACACAGTTTGATAAAYCCATCCAAATAACTAAACAGGACTGTAACACTATCGAAATACTAAACACAAAAAAGAAAAAGAAAAGATAAAAGAATCAGTAACCGATCAAAACATATATTCACAATGGTGAGAACTAGCGGTAAACTAGTGTGAGCTGCGTCGATGTTTCTAAAGAAACAGTTGTGTAAAAAGATAAATTTAACAACGTAAAAAAAGTAGGTGAAACAACTTACTGACGTTTCGGACGTTAATCTTTCGTCGGAGTAAAAACTTTACTTTACTCTTTACTCCGACGAAGGATTAATGTTCGAAACGTCAGTAAGTTTTTTCACCTACTTTTTTACGGTATTAAATTTATCTTTTTACACAATCCGTTAATCAACCATCTATCTGTCACTGACACTGGTGAAATACGCACTGCGCATGTCCACAGCTTTCCCACTGAAACCTGCCTAATTTCTTTTGTAAAGCGATTTTTGTGAAACTTTTTTTACAGTTCATAAGCTCGTTCACCGATATATAAGATTCATATTTCCATCAATCAATTGTTCATGATCAGGTTCTTTTAGTATGTAGTTTCTACTTTTATCTTGTTATTTCTATTTTGAGAAAATGAGGTTTTTCGTAGT